AGTCAAACCTCATAAGATAAGTAGTAGAATCAAGGCAACAGGCAAACCTGTAGAAAGTAGAAAGAAAAATGTCACAGAAAATACTCATGAACAAGTTTTGGAGGCAAGTTCAGTAATGCACATAGAAAAAAGTAAACATATGTTGACAGAAAATACAGCAATATTTAATGTGTGCAATGAAAAGATACAGAGTTTAGAAACCAAGAGATGTGGAACTTCACTAGAAGGAACACAGGCACAAGTATCAACAAGGAAACAACGTGGGGTAGTAAAGACGCTCGGTGATGTCAGGAAAGAAACTAATTTAGCCAGTCGCAAATCTCTGATAGCTAAAAATATAGATCCACATTTGGCAACAGAACAAAGTTTCGTTTTGAAGGCAGACAGTAGTCGAATGTCAATAGCAAATAAAACTTTGTCATTTAACAATATACACAAGGATGGGATGCTTGACAGCGGTGCTTTGTTAAAATCTAAGAAAGCTTCAGATGATGATGTAGCAGTTTCATGTTTGAGAAACAGAAACTCATTGACCAAACCATCTTCATCTAAACCTCCACAGTCTAAGCGTTCAAGTCTTCCTGTGTTGAATGCAGGGGACAAAAGACCAAACTCTACTACATCAATTCGACGCTCAGGGCTCGGTGAGCAGCGCATACCCAGTGAGGACAAACCCCTGGCTGAAAAAAGATTGCATGTTAATCCTAAGTCTTCCCTTTCAGGCAGCAATTCCAGGAACAAACCCAAGAAAGCTGTTTCAGCAGATTCTCACAATCAGGCAGAAGCTGTTATTAATGTTGCAGAGAATCTGAAAGTTAACAAACTGCAAGGACTGTGTAATATCAGTGTTCATGGTGGGCCGCAAGGGAGACATCAAGTAGTGGAAGATTCCTCTGATGTGACGATGCCGCCTAGACAGTTGAGGAAGCGAAAAATAAACATAAATTTAGCAGAGAATGCAGATGATAAAGCATCAGAAATCAGTGTGCCTACTACTAGACAGGTGAAAGCAGTAAAACCAACAAAACGAACCACCAAAGTTACAACAGGGAGTCTACAGGAAGAGCCTGTTCAAACTCCGCAAACGGCTAAAAAACAAACAGCTAAGAAAGATTCTTATCTAGAAGTGACTGCTGATAATGAACAAGCGTCAAAGGTTAAAAAGGGTTTAACTAGAAGAAAGCCGAGTGAAGCAACTGCTAATGTTTTGGCAGTTGAGGAGAGTTCTAAGAAAGATGAAATGTCGGCACATAAAAAACCTACACAAGTAACAAATGTCATTCAACCAAAACAAAGTGAAGTCACCAGTTCTGATTCAAGAAAAGCAAGCCAAAAGTTTGTTGGAGCTCACTGTTCTGCTGCTGGTGAGTAGTTTTTGTACTCACAGATCTTGTGGATCTTATGTTTTTTGTTGTTATAAAACTATTGTCTTGTCTCATTTATTTTACCAGTGACAAATATATATTTTTTGGCATACAATCTTGCAAAGTTCTGATTTATATCTACTTGAAAAGACTCAGGTCAAGAGCACACCATGGATTTTCAGTTTATGATATTCAGGTTTGCGGAGTAATGAGCAGGCTGATAGGTTGGGTGCTGTTGCTCCTCTGGGCATTCAGCTACTTTACGAAAAGGTTGACACGGTAAAGGCTATCTGGGATCAGATGGATAGTGCAGCAGAACAGACAGAGAATATATACATTAAAAGACTGACTTTTAAGGTAACCAAAAATTTTAGCATGTTTATTCTTCATTTCATTGACTGCTGGGGGGGGGGGGGGGGGGGGGGGGGGGGGGCAGCATCTGTCACAAGGAATGTCATCCATTTATTCCTTATCTTCTAATGTTTTTACTGTCCTCACATTAACAGTAAGAGAAATGCAGGAAATAAGAAAATCTCTGACCATTTGAAGAATGACAGCTGTGATATGGAGAAAATTATTGACCTGTTGAAAAATGACAATACAGAGATAGCCAGTGCAGTAAGCCTGAGGGGTAGAAGAGATAATGTAATTTTTCATAGTATATCGAACATGAGTAAAGTTGGGGGGGGGGGGGGGGGGGGGGGGGTTATGTTCTTGCTGACACAGAAATGATTGAGGGCAAATTAAAGTCATTTGCTCTAAACAAATTGTCAGGTCCCAGCATTTTGATGTCCATAGAGTCTGCTGTCCTACGCACAAAGTGGATTGAAGAGGCTCAGAGATTGGCTGCTGCCTCTCATCTCTGCAGTGAGCTACTTTATGACAAAGCAGAAATTGTGAAGGCTTTCTGAGATCAGGTGGAGTGCATACCTCAAAAAATTTATTCAGGGAAAGTAAGCAGATAGTCTGGGTGGTGTTCAGGAAAAAGACAGGCAGACTTTTAATCTGGTTACATCTTGCATAGAATCTGGTGGGGGGTGTAGGTTTATGACTCCTTAGACATGGCATTCAGATTTGTAAGCCAACATAGCAGACATTGAATCCTTGCTGTAAACCACAACACAACAGGCTAATCACTTTTTTTTAAGGTTACCACTGAAAGAGTTTGGTTCTGTCAAATATTTTTTTTATTCCCACTTAGAACCACTCAAAGGATGTCATTTTATCAGGGGTAACTGGTTAATATATGTGTGTGTGTGTATTCTATTTTGTTTTTTCATAATTGGGATTTAAGATGTATGTGACGTTGGCATATTTGCCTGTTTTATACTTAACATCAGTAAATATCATCAGCATTTATTGTCATATAAACTGTTATTGTTGTGCAGGTGGTGTTAGCAACGCTGTCCTCGAAGCTGTGGCAATTGGAGCAAGAGCCTTTGCCTTGTTTGTCAGAAATGGCAGAACATGGAAACTGAACCCTCTAGATTTTGTAGAAGCAGAGAAGTTCAAGAAGGCTTGCAAAGTAGGTATTTAATTTCTTAGTAATAATTGTTAATGTTCTGTTTAACCAGCTTGAGATTTGTTTTTAATGTACCATTTTCATCTCACATTTGACCCTCTCAAATTGAAATTCTTTGTTAATGGAGGTAGTCAGTCACTCCACGCTGGCAGTAGCATGTACTATTTACTATGTAAGGTAGGCACTTTGCCGTACTGGGTACAATCTGTCTACTCGCTGTTTCCAGAATATCATAATACAAATCGACCTGAGCAAAGACAAATGGCATTTCACATGAAATATATGGCTAGAGTGTTGGACCAAGAGCTCAGCTCGGTATGTAGACAACAAAATCATTGACTGAGAGTGTCTGTGTGTGGAAAATGTGGTAACAAATTGTGAACAGAAACAGACAGTATTTGACTGTGAACCCTTTCATGCAAGGAACACTTTAAAAAAAGGAAGGGGGGGGGGAGACTATGAAACCATGTAAATTCTTAACCCCCCCCCCCCCCCCCCCCCCCCCCCCCCCCCCCCCCCCCCCCCCCCCCCCCCCCCCCCCCCCCCCCCCCCCCCCCCCCCCCCAAAACATCTATTTAAAAAAACCTAACATTCTACACTGCACAGTAGTACATTAAAAAATATGTACATAAACACATTTTGGGGGGGGGGGGGGGTTACACGTGGAGTAATCAGTAAACATAAGACACTGAATCCGTACATGGAGTACATCTAACATCTGTGTATCCAGTGGCTCACAATGCGACCACCTTATCTTTATTACTGCAGGTAGCTGCTACATAAAATTTGATGTCAGCGTGGCTTTAAAATAACTATTTAGTTTACCCCCTTTCCTCCCACTCCTTATGTTATTTTTAGTAAATACATTAATATTCTGACCCCCTAAATGCTGCTCAGGTAATACAAAAATGTCTAATGGCATTAACTACTGGGCGTTCATGAACTCATCACTGTAGTAATGCCAAATAAGCGGCACTCTTGGGGAACTAGGGCCTGTCGGGTTTGCGGCTTTCTTGGGTGAAAGGGTTAACAGTCAACGTATCTACCAGACACCCTATGAGGCAGGAAGAAAAAGGTAGTTATCATTTACCTTAGGCTCTCGTTGGCCTGTTCCGATTAAAGTTGTCAGAAAATAAACATGAAATCCCTGAATAAATGATGTTATATTATCTCAGGTGCATGGTTTCCTGCCTCGGCACATCCTGCCTCATGGATCCTATCTGCTCAACTGTGGCTCATCAAATGTGGACACACTGCAGAAGTCTAGGGATACCCTTGTGCATGAACTGCAGATTTGTGAGATGCTAGGACTAGAGATGTACAACTTTCACCCAGGTACTGTGTGTTTCATTCTTATACATGAGGGTTTTTATGGGTGATTTGGATAACATTTTGTGAATGAAAAGAGTTGTTGAAAGAAAAAACAGACAGTTGCGATATTTTGGTCACATTAAATTAAAAACACAGCACTTCTATTAAAACCATGTTGGGGGAGGAAGTTGAAGGTGAGCAAGAGATAGACGATGATTCAAGTGGAAGGATATCAACAAGAGGTAAAGAGTCTGAAAGTGTACAGGCGCAAGACACAGTATATGAGGTCTGTTGCAGCCAGCCTTGACTGTGGAGACGACCCTAAATGATTTTGATAGCATCAAAAGTAAATTAATTTTTCTGTCAAAGCTGCAACATTTTAAAATAACAAATGAAGATGATTATGTCAAAATCTACTCCCGTTTACATTATTTGCATGCCTGCACAAACGTTAGGGAGATCAGGGTATGAATAAATTAACTAACAACAGCATTTAGGGGGTTTGTGTGGGACTAAAATAGCCTTTTTAAGACATGCTGATGTCAGAGAGTTTTCCGTAAGCTTCAGTGATATAGGTCACAGAGTCAGGGCATGAATCACCCGATAAATGTTTTTGTGTGTGGTCCCAGGGGATGTAAATAAATACATTTTAACGAATGCCAGTGACCTATGAGATATATTTTTTTAAAAATAATTTGTGTGTGTGTGGAATCGTAACGTTATTAGTAACTATTTTTTTTAAAGTGTTCCTGTGGTGAAAGAGTTAAGCTGAGAGATAGGAAGAAAAAAATAGTGTTTCTCACCTGGTCTCTACTGTTTCCTTCTTTCAATGGAAATTCTGGAGAAGGGAAGGAAGGAAAACAATGTTTTGAATAGTTTTCTTGTGACAATATATCCAGTAACTCAGAGATGATCAGGTCTGTATGGTTTTTTTAAAAATAATTCATGCAATCAGCTGTCTCTGATGATATGGTCAAGCCATTTGCCTTGCACCTTGAAGGTCTTGGGTTTCTTTTACTAATTGCTTCTTTCAGTACACAGTGCAATCATTACAGTGATCTTTGGAGTCATTGCTGAAGTTAGTATTTTATGCAACATTTTATGCGGGTGGCTGATCATTCTGTTGAGAGAGGCTGAGCCAAATGGGACAAAACCCAGTGCTTTGAAGTCGATTCTCTCATCTTTAACTTTCATCCATACACATACAGGGTTATTCAAAATGATGGATACTTTTATTAATGTATGTTTCCTTGAATATACATTGAATATAAATAATAAACATACAAAGGAGAAGGTTAGGTCTAAAGTTTTGAATACTACCACCAGAGCACAGTGGTATAACAACCCCTTCAGTTAATTTCCGAGTAAGATGGCCACCGTGCAGCACAAGATTTTCTGTGTTCTTGAGTTAAGCAAAACTTAATCAGCAACATCAATGTAGCAAGCATTTCATCTTTGATTCGGCATAGAACCACCAGTAAGGAGGAGCATATACCATTGTATGAAAAGTGTATCCATCATTTTTGAATTACTATGTAGTAGGACTGTTCAACTGGCGGCCTGCGTGCCAAATCTGGCCCGCAAAGGCCTAGAAAATGGCCCACTGATCATTGCCAGTTGGAGTGTATTAATAATCTTTCTATGCTGTTTTTCAGGCCATTGGCCCGTGACGATCCCCATTTTCAAAACACTGGCCACTGAGTTAAATTAATTGAATAAACCTGCTGTATAGTAGGGCTGTACCGAATATTCGCTTCGGGGCCGAATAGTGGACCTAATAACTATTCGATATTCGGCCGAATAGTTGCGGTAGTGCTGAATACGAATAGTGATTACCTTACACTCGTTTCTGGACTGGTGGAAAATAAACATATCAAGATTTTCCATCTTGGTTTATACTGTCAAGCGTTTTCTTTGTGCACCACCTACGAGCGTACCAAGTGAACGTCTGTTTAGTACAGCTGGAAATGCCTTCAAGAAGCTGACAATAGCTTTTTCGTGGATTAACTAAGCTGTCGGTGACAATTTACAAGTTTAGTTGCTTGTTATAAAACTAAGAATACTTTCATTCCTAAGTATTAGTTACCACAGACTGACTGACATGAAATGTTTTTAAATGTTTACTATTCTGTACTACTTTTTGTGAAGGAAAATTTCAGCATTCATTTGACATTATTGATGTTTTTTTTAGGTCTATTTTATACACGAATAATGGGCCTCATTTTGATTAGTGGGAAGACAGAAGTAATGGTGGTATCAAAGAAAATAATTATTCATAAATGTGTAACAAAAGTCAATGGTTTTATTTTGGGACAAGTACATACATTTAAGTATCTGGCCACATGGATAACATCAGATGGAAGATACATTACTGAAATAAGAAACAGAATAAGACAGGCAAAAACTACATTTTATAAAATGAAGAACATCTTATGCAATATCCTTGTCATTGAAGGTTAGAAAAAGAATTCTTGCTTGCTACATACATCCAGTTTTAACATATGGCTGTAAGTCCTGGTCAATCGGTAGGCAGGCAAAACAATTTCTTGAGGCCTCACTGATGTGGTTTTACAGAACAATGCTTAAAATACCTTGGACAGCCAAACAAAAAGCAACCAAGAGGTTTTAATAGAGGTGGGAGCCCAAAGACAACTACTCACAGACGTCATAAGGAGACAGTCATCCGTTTTCATTCATGTTATAAGATGAGGGAAAATAGAACATGTTGTGACCACTGGAAAGATCTGTGAGAGAAGGGACAGAGGAAGACAACGAGAGAAGATTCTTGACAGTCTTGTTGCATGTTGCATGGATGTGTGTCAGCACACGAACTGATACATGCTGCAGGAGATCGCAGATTATGGAGAGGCATAATCGCCCATGCTAGTTGGCAAAGCACCTGATGATGATGATTCACTATTCGTATTCGGCCGAATAGTTGGTCCAGCTATTCGTATTCGGCCGAATAGTGAAAATCACTATTCGGTACAGCCCTACTGTATAGTGATAAAAGAGTAGGGATATTCAAGCCGTGTCCCTTTTTTTTTCTATCAGGGTCAGCATGTGGAAAAGGCACAATAGATGAGTGCCTGTTGACAGTTGCAGAGAGTATTAATCTGGCTCATGAGAAAACTAATTATGTGAAAACAGGTAACCGCTGTAACAGTGTTTATTGTGCTGTGTTGTTGTTTGGATTCATGAATTCATGTGTTAATCTTAGCAGCAATGTGGACTAAACTGGAAGAAGATACTTCTTCACTTCCTCTTTTACCACTTTGGGTGTCAGGGAGGTATAAGGTTCTGCTTCTTGTTCTTCTGATCACCTTGACCATAGACATATCATTGTTATAAAGTTTCTCTGAGGTAATCTTTCTACATTGTTCTTGGTCTGCCTCTTGTTCTGCATTTCTATCTTTTTGATGTATGCCTTGTATGGTATGGTGTCGCAGGGTATTATCTCTTAGCAGGCAAACTGTTTTATTTGCTAATGTATGTAATTTAGAACTGGCTCTGCTAAATATTTCTCCTATGGCTCCATTCCGGCAGCCTTTCCCATACATCTAATTTCCATGGTTACTAATTTCTTTTTTTCTTCTTCTCTCTTTTGTAGTCCTTTAACATTGCCATGGTTGCATGCCATTTGATTAACCTGTTGTTACCTCACTGTATTTTTTTGGCAATAATAAATTAATTGCAGATACACTAAGCCAGTTGACATTTTACAAGATCCCCATTGGCTATGTTTTGGAGTGACCCAGGATGGCCTTTATAATTACTATAAAACCTGACTGTGCTTCTCCCCAGTGAAAACAATCCATTACTTTGTCCAGTTTACTGCCTGTCATGACAAAGAAGAGATAGCTATCAAAATATTAATACAGAAGGCAAGAAAGCTTTGACTGCATTACAGTTTGTGAAAATTAAAATCTGTAAAATACTCAACTCAAATATCAAATCATTTATTATGGTAAGATTATTAATCTTAGAAACATACATGCAGATAAGTTACACGTTTAGTAGAGAATCCTTTTTATGCCACTGGTACATCGGGCATATGGTGCTAGTTTCAAATTTTTAAAGCTCTGTGGGTGTAGACTAGTTATTAAGTGATGTGGTCAGCAGTACGCCAGCCACCGTACTTGGCTGGGTCGACCTTAGAACCAAGGTCAATTTTGGGGAAATCGGTCTTGATGCAGCCTTGAACCTAGGACCTCCAGGTCAGCAAGTGAGCACCCAGCCACTTTACTACCATGGCTCCCTCACATTGAGCAGCAAAAATTAGTAGTCTTTTCAGGAATGCACATAATAAAATCTCTTTACCCTGTTCACTTAAACATTTTCATTAAATGCTATAGCCAGCAATGATAGGGGGGGGGGGGGGTGTTGCCATTTCTGCCGGTGTTTACCACTTTTACGATGAAGAGGGGGGGGGGGGCATTTCTGCCTCTGTTTACCAGTTTTACAATGGGGGGGGGGGGGGGGTGTTGCCATTTCTGCCGGTGTTTACCACTTTTACGATGAAGAGGGGGGGGGGGGCATTTCTGCCTCTGTTTACCAGTTTTACAATGGGGGGGGGGGGGGTGTTGCCATTTCTGCCGGTGTTTACCACTTTTACGATGAAGAGGGGGGGCATTTCTGCCTCTGTTTACCAGTTTTACAATGGGGGGCATTTCTGCCCGTGTTTACCAATTTTACAATGAAGGGGGGGTGTTGCCATTTCTGCCGGTGTTTACCACTTTTACGATGAAGAGGGGGGGGGGGCATTTCTGCCTCTGTTTACCAGTTTTACAATGGGGGGCATTTCTGTCCGTGTTTACCAATTTTACAATGGGGGGGGGGGGGGGGTTTGCCATTTTCTGCCGGTGTTTACCACTTTTACGATGAAGGGGGGGGGGGCATTTCTGCCTCTGTTTACCAGTTTTACAATAGGGGGCATTTCTGCCCGTGTTTACCAATTTTACAATGAGGGGGGGGGGGGGACATTTCTGCCCGTGTTTACCACTTTGAGGGGGGGTGCATTTCTGCCTGTGTTCACTGCTTTTACAATGAAAAGGTGGGGGGGGGGCATTTCTGCCTGTGTTCACCACTTTTACAATGAAAAGGGGGGGGGGGGGGGGCATTTCTGCCTGTGTTCACCACTTTTCAGCTTTAGTCTTCAGAAATGTGATATCTGAGAAAGGTGGTCCAATGACAAAAAGGGACACAGTCCGCAATCAGGCAATGCGTCAAGATCTTGATGCCCAGTCCTGACAAACCTGAGTGGATCAGTCACAACTACAATGGTTTGGACATGTATGCAGAAAGGGAGAAAAAAGGCCGGCATGGGAGGCTAAGAACCAGGGAACCCAACCTCTGCGGGGACCCAGGGCCTGCTGGGAAGACAACATGCGACATCCCTAACTGACAGGATTGGAATGGAACAAAGCCAGAAAGAAAACTGGCGATCTCTCTGGCAAACCTCTACACCTAAAGGTAGAAGAGGAGCAACTAAGGATGTAAGTTTACCACTTTTACAATAAAAGGAGAGGGGGGTAAGGGGTCCTTGAGCCTATAATAGATAATGCATTTGCTACAGTCTGCACTGTTGAAGATTTTATTTTTGCCCCTGATAGAAAAACTCCAAAACCTTACCAAGGATTTGAAGGTAAATTATTTATTAATTTCCTTGTTTGCTTATTTCAGTGATTGAGAACATGTCTGGCCAAGGTCGAACAGTGGGAGGGAAATTTGAAGAACTAAAGACCATTATCGAACATGTCAAGGACAAATCTAGAATTGGTGTTTGCCTGGACACTTGCCATGCTTTTGCAGCTGGTAGGTCTTTCTCTTCTCCCCCCCCCCCCTCTATCTATATTTGTGTGTGTGTGTGTGTGCGTGTATATGTATAAAGTAATAAAAGTAAAATATAAAGTAATTATGTATATATATGACATTAGTTTTTTTTGTCGCCTCTCCTATTTTTACTGGCTATAGACTGGACTATGAAAACAGTAACTGCTAACACCAAGAATGGAATTCAGTGGACCCCTACAAAACAGCTTGATGATCTAGACTTCGCTGATGATATTGCCCTTCTGTCCCATTCACGGAATCAGATACAAGATAAATTAAATATACTTAATGCGAGATCACAGCAGCTTGGTCTGAAAATCCATAAAGGAAAGACAAAGATAATGAGAATAAATCAGGCAAATAGCATTGGGAACCCACAGGGGCATAGGAATAAAGGAAGGCCAAAAAACACATGAGAAGAGAGCTGGAGAATGAGGTTAGAAAGATTGGGAGGACATGGGGAGAGCTCCATGTAATGGCGAAGGATAGAACGACTTGGCGTGAGTTGGTTGAGGGCCTATCTGTACAAAACGGATATGCACGCAAGACAGGTTCATAAGTCAGATCTGTAAAACGGATATGCACGCAAGACAGGTTCTGAAACAAAACTAGCGTCCGGGCATGGACGAACAACCAGACCTTTCCGCTGGAGTCTACAGCCGGTGAACACGAAGAAGAGGAAACAGGCAAATCATCATTATCATTAGGCGCTCGTGTCTCTACAGATCTCAGTCCTTCTGAGTCAGTTGCACTGATGGTATTCTACCATGCCCTCGCAGGAAAGTCATGCATATTGCACTTGGGGGGAGGCGGCAGCAGTGGCTAGTTGTGCTTTCCTGTTTGATTTATTTTGTCAAAGTGACCTGGACCTTCCACTAAAAACTCTGCCCACAGTTGATACAGAGAAATCCACATGTTGGTTCTAGGATCGGGGGGGGGGGGGGGGGGGGGGGTTATAGACCCACAGCCACTCCAACCAGCATTTCATAAAAGTGCCAAGTAATGAAAAGCAGATGTTACACTCCACTGTTCTGTGTGTTCTTACCATTTTCAAATAGGAAAGTTCTTTAATGTCTAGTGTTCTTGATCTTGCTGTAGGAAAATGTCTGCTTGGTTTTAGAATTTTTTTTTTTATTATTTAAAAATTATTTAATTTGTGTAAATATAACTATTTTCTTTATTGTGTTTGTTAATTTCTTACCTGAGTCTCCAGCACTAACTGACAAAGTCTTACAGAATGCTGAAGTAGTGAACACTGTACATTTTTTGCTCTGTGTGTGTGTGATTATGAGATAACACACCTAATTTATCATTTAGTGGGAGAATGGGTGTATTCGTGACCTAGTTAGTTATCAGGTGTGAGGTCAGAGTCAGAACTTGGGTTGTCAGGTCTGATTGTTGTCAGAGTTTTGTTCAACAAAGGTTGGATTCATGCATGTAGTATCTATTCTAGTTTGTATGTTTTGTCCCTTTTGCACATGCCTTATCTTGAACACATTTACAGTCAAGGTTTCACACTTTCCAGTGATCATTTACAATTATGACTTCCTGTTTGATATAAAAGTAAAGTAAACGACCATTTTTCAGGCATAAAGGGTAGACCTATGTCTTATAGACCAATCAACAGTTGGTGGGTGGTTTGGTCAGCATCATACCAGCCACCTTTACTTCCCTGGACTATTGTTGATACCCACTAAAGGCTAAGTCAACAGTGGAGCCAAGATCCTTTTTTGTAAAAGTCTGGCTCCGCCATTACCCGGACCCACGACTTCCTGTCTGCAAGCAAGCATCAAGGCGCTACACCAACGCAACTTCAGTGTTTGATATATTCTTCTTCTCTTCCTCCAGCTACCTGGTGGGGGGGGGGGGGGGGGTATTTTTCAGTCTCGACCCCCCTTCCCCTTCCTTTCCAATTGAATTAGTCTCTCAGTGTATGGAATCTCATTGCGGAGGGACAGATATATCATTATGGTCTAAGGAGAATGGCCCTGCGAGGAGTTATCAGGGTATCTGGCCGACACTCAACACTCAGGAGAAGTATGAGATGGGTAAACAATCAGACAGTTACTGGTACCATCGGAATTGGAACTCTTCGTTTGCTGCTTGGTGAAGATGGGGACTGAGCACTTATGGGAGGGTCCTGAGTGCTGTGATGTCAATTTTTGGCTCTCCTTTAAATAGCGGTCGCTAGCTGGAAGGCGGCGGTCGCTTAGTCGGAGTTCACTCCCTTGTCTGCAGTGCAAATACGGAGTGTTAAAGAGGGAACGAAACAAATGACATACTTTTCCTGTCATGCTACGGTTGCTTAGGGTTAGGCTTGGCTTAGGGTTTGGGTAACACATGTAGCGCCGAGTACTTACCCATAATAACGGCCGCTATATGTAAAAATTTTCTTGTTTTTGATTCGTGACTTGTCCACTCAGTATTTGCACTGCAGCCAAGGGAGTGAACTCCGACTAAGCAACCGTCGCCTTCCAGCTAGCGACCGTTATTTAAAGGAGAGCCCAATTTTTAATTCAACATTGGATTCCTAGCTCTATTGCACTGTCCATTTGATCACAGATAGCCTTTGCTACCAAAAGAAGGATCCTTAAACCTGGGAGCCCTAGGTCAGGTATTTTTTTTTATGTGCCCCGATGCAGATTCAAACGTAAGAACTTCAGGCTCGCATTACTGCGGCTCCTGGCTCATGCTTATTTTATTTTTTCTTAGCATTCCGAGACCTTGAGGTTCATTGCTGCAGATGTCATCTCCTTCCATTCATCTCTGCCTTTTCTGTCCAGTTGGTCTGCTACAGTTAAGCTGTTCTGTGTGAGCAGTTTTGTCTCTCTGGTATCTGCCATTCTCTCTGTTTGCCCCAAGCATTGCAGTTTTTTAGGCCTTATGATGCCAGTAATTTACTTGAAATGAATAGTTCTAATATGTAAATGAAGACACTGCAGTTTTTTAAATTTCAGTGAATACACAAACTTTTGACCACAGAATTAAACATTGTTTCAGAACAGAAAAATACTATAAATAGGACAACTAGCCTGTTATACAAGGGGCCATGGGTTGATTGACTGTGAGCAAGGAAGAGGGTCTCAACTCAAACTAGGTTGGGAAACACGGCTCTACTTGAAAACATCACAGAAGAAAAGTCAACATTTTCGACTCATTCTTTTTTAAATTTTTTAATTTCTTCCCATATTAGGCTTTGATTTGTCTTCTGAGGAGGGCTTCAACAAATGTATAGAGAGTTTTGACAAGATTATTGGCCTACATTATCTGTGTGCATTGCATCTGAATGATTCCAAAGGTACATACCACTTTTTGTATTACTAAAACGTAAAGGCAGATGTTAATCTAGTTATATATATATGTATATATATATATAAACACATACATATATATATATATATATATATATATATATATATATATATATATATATATATATATAAACACATACATATATATATATATATATATATATATATATAAACACATACATATATATATATATATTATATATATATATATATATATATATATATATATATATATATATATATATATATATAAACACATATATATATATATATATATATATATATATATATATATATATATATATATATATATATATATATATATATATATATATATATATATATATAAACACACACACACACACACACACCCTGAGGTTGTAGTGAAAATTAATGAAATTATGGGGAACAGCATCTTGACCTCAAAGACATGAACAACTCAAAAAGGAAAGCTTGAAATTAAACACAATTTCCGGAATGACTTCGAAATCATTCAAAGAAAAGTATTATTATTTTTTCACCTTTAAAAAAATTGGGTGGGTGGGGTAGTGATTTACAGCAGGACTGCGATGTCAAAACCCAACAGTAAACCCCTTAGTCACTGTTTGCAGCGTGCTTGAAGCTGCATTGACTGATTACAGGTTTCAGAATCAACATCATAGGACACTGAGCATACCCATACATACTCCATCCCCTGCAGCAGATATTTTAAGGTGCCGATGCTAACTGTACCAAATCTGACATTTCACTTGTGCTAACGGTTTCAAGTGGAGGAGTGCGTTGAGGGTACTAGCCTTATCCTGGTAAGAGGAAACTCAGCCATAAAATGTTTTGGGAGGGCAGACCAAGTCCTTAACCTTAGATGGCAGCTGGTTTAGGAAGGAAGCTCCAATAGATGGACAGATTCTGCAGCATGCTTTGTTCCAAATTATTGATGTCACCTTTCCTTTGGAGTAAATAAGGCATACTGAAAGAGGGCTCATGTTGCATAAATAATGTCTCCACAATACAGCCAAGGCTTTGTGTTATGGGGATAAGGGAAAATGTACCTTGAATATGGTTTAATAGTTGACTATGGCACCTGAATAAAATTGTCATTTTATATAATTCATCAGTTACTCAAAACAATTTATATAGTGTTTCAGTGATAGCTAGGCAGCGAATATGGTTGAAAATTTGTTGCTGCAAGCTATGACTCGATATCATGAAATGGGACATGAATGATACAGGTATTGTGGTGGATTTGTGAAACAGGATACCAAGGACTGTGTTACATAGAGGGGAACATCGGGAAGGGAATAGGGATAAATGATAATGTGATTGCAGATAAGTTGAGACCTAAATGTTTGAAAAGAAGGACATTAAATACATACTGAGGCAATAATAGTCCCAGAAAGGTCACGGATTGTGAGCATACTTTGGATCTTTTCTCCAGGCTATGCCGGTGTGGTAGGGAATGATCAGGTAGACAGATTGAGTGGGGAATTGGTACATGACAAGGCAGATATGGTCACAGCCCTTTTCGAACAAGTAATGAAGTCAGAAGAGACCCAAAATTATTATGGCCTCAAGAGAATGATGCACCTGTGTGTAACCAGAAGGTCTGGCCGGCTTACTACACTTAGAGGAAAGGCAAGACAGACGTATAACCAGATTACAGCCGGTACCGTTAGTACTGAAACTTTGCTTTGGATGCTGAAGATGAGGACGAAGCGCGCATGGGAATGCCCTGAGTGCTGTGATGTTAATTCTTAACTCAGCTCAATTTAATAGACGTAAAATTCTGTGTTCTCACTGTGGAAGATTTCTTACTTTGGGTCTTGCTAGTCACCGTAGCCATTGCCTATGATTCACATGCCTTTCTATAGCACTGTATAGTATAACACTGTCATCTAGAAAAACAGATTGCTCCAGTAGCAACATTGGTAAAAGCAGTTTATCATATGTTATTATTAAATCCATTTGTCTACAGGAGAGTTGGGTTGTCGCCTTGACCGTCATGAGAACATAGGCAAGGGTCACATTGGCCTAGAAGGTTTTCGCTACGTAATGAGTGATCCACGCCTGAACAACATTCCCATGATTCTTGAGACTCCAGTGAATGACTATGCCAAGGAAATCAAAATTTTGTGTGACTTAGAAAATGTTTAGAATTTGTAATCTTGTAAATGCCTGTTTGTCCCATTTTATATTTTCTTCTTCTTTGCACTCACTGGCTGTAAACTCTGGTGGAAAGTTCTGGTTGTTCGTACACCTCTGGTCTTTATTTTTCTTCCAGAACCCGAGTGTTGTGTGCACATCTAATTTACTGATGTGACTTTTTTTTTTGTATGGAGACTGTTGGTTCCTTATCTCTCAGGCATATGCACTCCAACTTTGAAGAAAGCCCCCTAATTAGTCGACTCTTACGACATGCTGGTTGGAAAGGCAATGGGTATGTTTCTTTTTTTTTTCTCCCTCAGTGGGTTCCCGGAATCGACACGGGGAATTTTATGTTTTTATATTTATGCTTTTTCAGTTAGTGATTTCTGTGTGTGAAAAAATAAGTCTTCTGAAAGAAGCGTTTGTCTCAGGAATAACATTTGTTGGTGTCAATAGGTTAAATGTCCTTAGTGACCTTGTTTGTTTTCATAGAGCATGTGGCACACTTCTATTAATATCAGTGGTCTGTAACATTTTGATGATGTAACTGGAGAACATTAATACAAAAATATAAATGATTCTTCATAAACTGTAAATTGTGTTGATCACTGTCTTTGCATTATATAGAAAATCTATCCACATCAGAACATGTATGAACGCAAGGCAAAGCACGACTTGAGAGAGGCTGTGCCAGCCAAGCGGTGTCAGTATGTTAACTGAGAAAAGGTTATATCCGTAGTATCTCACACAGCACTGTCTGTTGTGTCATGTCCATAATATCTCACACATTAGCAGCAGTCTGTTGTGGGATATCTATAATATCTCACACTTCAGCAGCACTGTCTGTTGTGTCATGTCTCTAATATCTCGCACATTATCGGCACTGTCTGTTGTGTGATATCTATAATAACTCATACTTCAGTAAGCACTGTCTGTTGTGTCATATCTATAATAACTCACACATCAGCAGCACTGTCTGTTGTGTCATATCTATATCTCACACATCAGCAGCACTGTCTGTTGTGTGATATCTATAATATCTCACACATCAGCAGCACTGTCTGTTGTATGATGTTCAGCGTATCTTGCACATCAGCAGCACTGTCTGTTGTGTAATGTTCAGCATATCTTACATATCATCAGCACTGTCTGTTGTGTGATGTTCAGAGTATCATCTATCATCTTCATGTGATTTAATTCAACCACAACACAATTCAATGTTAATTAGTTATTGAGATGTTAATGATACCATTTCTGCCTTGCGTTTCACTGTATAAATTGGAAACTTTTATTATTTGCATTTGAATAAAAACTTTAATTATTATTTCGGCATCATGTTTCAGTCATTTTAAATGAAAATGTACAAGAATGCAGTTCATTTAAGAAATAACAAATTATTTCTTAAACCAGTAAATTTTAACTTTTGCAAGGGAAATAAAACAAATGCTGTCTTATATCATTTATAACCTTTTTTTAATTTAGTAGCGTGTTTGGCTTAGGGGTTTAGACTTGTGTGGTAAATCTTTAGTGCCGTTTGATCACAGATGCATTTGGTTTGGCAGCAGACCATGTTGCATCAGCAGTGTTATTGAAAGAGACCATTCAAACTACTAATCCTAACATTTTATGGTGAAATCACAAAAAGCCAAAATATGCTGGGGTAGGTTCTTCAATGTCCTGTACAGGATGGGTAGCTAATTGAAGCGACAGCAACAGTGAGGAAACTAGAAGTCTTTGAAAGAGGATAAAATATAAAGACAACTTATCGTGAACATTTCTGTTTATTACTCTGGCAGCTCTTCTAAGATATCTTTGTTATGATTTTAAGCTCATTCTTTTTAGCAAGGGTACCTTTTTGACTCTGTAAGCCAGGGTTTTTCAACTAAGTTTACTAATGGGATAAAATCTTACAAATGGAGGTCTTCATGGGTCCGAGCCCTAGCATAGAAAGATCATTATTACAAAACTGTGGGGATTTTCACTAGGGGATCTGGCTGACACTCAAGGGGAAAGGTGAGAGGGGTTTTCAATTACTGGTACCATCAGAATTGGAATTCTTCGCTGGCTGCTGAAGATGAGGGACGGAGTGCTTACAAGGGTGTCCTGAGTGCGGTGATGTGGATTCTAAATTCAACATGTAATGACCGGAACCTAAGACATTATTTCTTATTGAACTTTGCATTAATATATAATTTCATTTCCACCAACTACTTGAGTCCTTGGTAGCGTAGTTGTAGGTATTCCGCCTATCATGCGGGATACCCGCGTTCGATTCCCCACTAGGTGATATATTTTTGGGGGGGCCCTTAACTGGGCGGCTGGCACGTTTTGTTGTGGTTTACAGCTAGGCTGCGATATCTGACCTAAACTCTTCAGTCTTCGATAGTATAGTTGAAAGTATTCCACCCTTCACACGGGTGACTGCTGTTCGATTCCCCGCTGGGTGATAATTGTTCTTTTCCCCTTAAAAGGGTGGTTGCTATGTTGTGTTGTGGTTTACAGCTAGGCTCCGATATCTGCGCCTTTCGCATAAAGACATCTGGTTTCAGTAAAGTCCCAATTAGCCTCCCTGCGACGCTTCTCGATCAAAACCTATTCAGTGATAACAGAAACTGTTAACTAAGACGACTTACTGTCCAGTTTAGTTTAGTTTGGGTGGACACGGATGCCAAGGTGAGTTAAAAATCGTCCCTTCGGTGAGGGAGAGATGATGGGTGCGGTTTTTTCTCTGCTATTTGTGAGTATAGTGTACATTTTTCATCACAGAATATTACTGTGGGTTCCATGACTGGTTAGGTGATGAAGTTTTTTTCTTCTATGTCGGGGACAAAATTAAACTAAACAGTCCATGGCGACAGCATGCGGTGCTAACTCCTCTGGCTACACCGACCTACACAGACAGTAGTGACAGTTTTGTTGTTGTTACGGTGGTGTTGGTAGTGGCAGCAGTAGTACTGATTATGGATGGGTGATGTGATAGCTTTTACACTGACCACATTTACTTCTCACTACAGATTACTGCTACCTATTTTAGTCTGGGTGGACACGGATGCCAAGCTCAATTTAATTACAATATTTCGTCAGACGACTTTCCCATCCTTTGGAGAGGATGATATGATTGGGGGAGGGAGGGGGGGTGTTGATGCCAGACACTGTTCACTGAGAGAGCTTGAAGCATCATTTTAGTTCTCTTTTCTTAACTATTTCTATTTTAATAATTTCTCCAGAGATGATTTTTTTATCCTTTGAAGAGGGAGATATGACTGGGGGAGGGGTTGGGTTATGACAGACACTGTTAGCTGAGAGCTATTTTCTTTCTTATCCACTTCACCAATCTGGGCCACAGCAATGCGTGGCCGGGTACAGCTAGTAGTTCAAATTAGATATCCCTCCCTGACTGTTGTAACAATTCTTCAGTTGTTGTTATGTGGAGCTAGGGCGACATTTAAGCCATACTTGTTGAGCAAACATAATCTATTGCTGAGCATTAAGTCCTGTCCTTAGAGTTAGCCTCAGTAGTCCAGGGTAGTTAACATCCTTTGTATATTCTCTCCAGGTCATGCCGGTTTGTTAGGAAATGAGCAGGTAGATAGACTGGCTGGATCTGCGTCACTTGGTGGTGAATTGATTTATGACAAGCTAGATGTTGTGAGGGCCCTCTGGAAGCGAGTGAATGTGCAAATAGATCATTATGGTCTGAGGAGAATGGCGATGCGAGAAGTTACCAGGGGATCTGGCAGATGATCAGTACTCAAGGGAAGGGTGAGACGTATATACAATCATGTTATCGAAATTGGAACTCTTCGTTTGCTGCTAAAGATGGGGACGGAGCGCTTATGGGAGTGTCCCTAGTGCTATGATGTTGATTCTTCATTCGTGGTCTAGGGTTCGTTCATCTTCATAGGACATGACCATAAGTGCTCCGATCTCCTCCTGAGTATGTCTCCAAGTGTTTTTAGGCTACAACTCCCATTCTGTTCTGGTTAATGGGCGGCTCTCACATGGTTTTCCTGTCTCGCTGCTCCAATTGGTACACCTAGGGTATGCAGTCTGTTCAATGAAAAATCATTTTCCACGAAACTGAAAGCTTCACAGCGTTTAGTCTCTCGTATGATGTCTCATGTGGCCAGTTCGCTTGAAGGTGAGGTTTTAAAATTTAACTCTAGCTCTCAGACTGACATAATTCACAATTTCTTGTGAAATAAGGCCTGCCAGTATTTTGTTAACTGCTTCAGCCATCGAATGCAGGCTGGTCTATCAAATATGGGGACGGCACTATAAGCCCCAGGGGCCGGACCTTAATAATAAAAAAAAATTACCCAGCCTTCAATAAGTACATGTAAAGTACCTGGGAAGTAAAGTTGGCCAGTGTGATATTGACCATACCACCCACTGAATGCTGATTTGTCTATAAAATATTGGTCTAGCCCTATATACCCAGAACACCTGAAGGAGTGGAAAAGGGTCCTTTACTTTTTTCATAACAATAAGCCCTGTGTGTCTAAATGATCCATAACTTTTCTTATACTTACTCTCTTGGTAAACAAACAATGTTTAGTTTAAACTTCAGCACTAATTAAGGTGCAAGAGAGGAAAATCACACCTGAAGCAGTGGAACTAAAAAGTCCCTTTTCCACGTGTGTAGGCGTATTGGGAATATAGGGCTAGACCTATATTTTTATAGACCAATCAGCACTTGATGGGTGATGTGGTCAGCATCACGCCAACCGCCTTTACTTCCTAGGACTGCACCTGGTACCCACTTAAAGCTGGGAGTCAAGGTCATTTGGAACTAGAAGAAAGACTAATAAATTTTAACTTTCATGAAGCCCGGCTCGCTAGCGTAGTTGGCTAAACGGGATTGCGCCGTGACCTGGTGACAAACTCCTTGTGGTCCGGGTTCACGCCCAGGGGTAGGCAGAAAAGCCAAATTTCTCCCATATTTACTGTATTTATCGTGGAATCAAGGCCAAAGGGTTGCAATATCCATAATACCGAGCCTAAGGGGT